TTAAGTTCCCAAAGTTTCAGCCCTGTAGCTTTTGTAGGTCTCGAGATGAAAAATCGGTACAGAGGCGCTGCGCACACACAGACACACACACACACATACAGACAATCTCTCCTCAATGTGCGTTTTCCGCATTGCATAGCTGGAAAAAACGCATAAAAACAGAATATCAAAAGCTGGTGAGTCATCCTTTGATGACATTTCAACTTCAACACTGGAACGCGATGTTTGGAGCATTCCAGCTGCATCGGATCTCCGGCAGGAATTTGATTTTCTTTCCGACCCCTCACTTCTTGCTCCCAGCTTCCCCAACGTAGGTTGAATCTACGACGGAGAAATCCATTCTTGTTTCCCGGAGCTATTTTGGAATGCGAGTTGAAGCTCGCTTTGGAGATTGTGACGTGCGATATCTTTTACAGGATTATCCGTGTGCTCTTCAGTCCTTTCGCATTTAGTACAGCTAACTGTGCATTTTCATTATTCCGGTCGACTCACTACAGCACCGATTCCTATGATTACTGCGTTCACTTCTGTCTCTCACTCACAGTCTAGAACAAAATCTCTCATTATCATTCGCTTAGCACAAGACATCTGACAGGTCTTTTCGATTCACCGACACGTCTGCACACGGCACCCGAAACCAATCGCACTTTGCCTGCACCATTTGACACTCAGCACAACAGCAAGTACCAGTTCTTGTTTATTAGCAGGTACCATTCGAAATACAACGTACTGACGAGTAAGCATTTGTTTCGTAAATGTAACGAATAACTTTAAACTAACTAAATTTATCTAGATCTTCTGAAACTAGGCATGGAACTGCTTCACGTTCATTTCGTTGACTACATTTGCCTTATTTGCTGAGAAAACATTGTTATTAACACAAATCGAGCAATAATCTATAGCTTCATATCTAAAGGTTCATTTTCATTATTACTGTTTTTATAAATCCTTCATTTATTCGTATTTTTTGAGGGTATTATGTCTGGTACTCCCTGTCACGTCAATGTCTATTTTTTAGACTTGCGAGTGAGCCTTTCTACTTCCTTTACTTATCTATTCTTATAATAAATTAGCTAGTTTTCAATATCAATAACATTCTGGCCGAACATCATATCGCATCGAATCGGATCCAATATATCCTTAGCAACTGCTGAAGGCAGTTGTATTTCGGCATTTTTATCTTTAGTAAATCCTTGCTTTGCATCCAGTTCATTGGCCAAATTGGTAGAATTCGCCACTTTTATCCAATTCACCACGTACATCGTAAATGCTCGATATTTACCTGTCAAAGAGATGAAACGTTAGGCTTTGTAGCAGCTGAAAATGAACAATATTAAAGTAAAAAAAATTAATTCTAGAATAGTAATATATTATGAGCAGAAAGAAATGAAACTGTTAATGTAAATATACGTAGATGTATAGCCCCATAGATTCAGATACATATGTATATTACGCCTATAGTAAGAACGGCTAGGATAAGCGTGTTTCAACCTATTGAGCTGTATTTGTCTCATCCGAGGTTCGCAATTGGAACTGGTCACTGGGTACAAATTTGTACCTATTTGTACAATTTTAAGTTTAAGATAAATTTTCTGTACTGTTAGCTTAAGTTAATTCGTAACCTTGAAAAACTGACCTGAACAATGGCAAATGTTTAAAATCAAGCCTTAAAATGAAAGCAAAAGGGACACAAGAGAGGAAGCAAGACACAGTAAGCAGAAAACACTGCAGCAGAAGCTTGTTGGAGTATGGGGCTCATGAAAACGATCTGACATTACTGCGCTACGTGCGTGATGCATTCTAGTATCACCAGTACTATCGGACTGCCAAGCCATTTTGTCGCCTTGTAAGCAAAAACCCACAAACGACAAGTATGTCATCGGAAAAACCAAAAGTTCAAGATTGAAGGTTTTTTCCTAGACTAATTTTTTTTGCAGTTCGTTTGCGAGACATTGCTTCTCACCGCTTATTTGAAAAATTTTCGAAATTTTCATGCACACAACGTTGTATTATTGTAATTTGATGTTTTGGTTTTTTTTTTCTCCTGATAGGATTATTAGTTCATAGACAAAAGCATTTGACAAGTCTTTAGCTCTATTATGTTTCTGAGGAAAAAATATACATTTTCAAATTCCTTATTAGGACGGAAATCAGTAAAGCTATTAGCAAAAATCAATTAGCGGTGTACCTAGCACAGTGTTCATCAAAATCACTTGCTGATCCGGAAAACAAACGACTTTCTCGATATTTGGAGACAAAATGTTTTTTTCAACTGCCAATGACGTCGTTATAAATTTCGCAATGTCCGTCGAATTCATCTGCAGTAAAACTTTCACCCAGTGTGGATTTAACCGTTCCATGTGAATCTTCTATCACTGTTCGAGAACGATTAGTTACGAAGCGAATTTAAATTTTTTGCAAAAATTCCATTTCAAATTGATTTTTAGTCTGTAAAATTTGTTAGATCCATCACACTGTACTTTATTGAGCTCCGCTTGGACGATATTAAAACAAACAGTAGCAGATTGCTGCCGTTTCGCAAAAATCTCTTGTAAGCTGATTGTCGCGGAAGATCTGTAAAAGCTGGCAAAATAGAAGCCTGTGGAAATGCAGGCAAAAAAGATGGCGGACGCTTTAAAAGCAAGAACACTGTGAAATCATTTTTAGCGCTTTCAAGATTTCAAGAGCACGTGGTGCACTGGTTGCTTACACTGCGTCTGGATGTGAAGACGAATAGTTCCGCTCCATTCCAATCCATATTTATTGCCGAAACAGCGATTCGGCCTTCAACCTTCACAGTACGTGACAAATATGAAGGGTTTTATCGCCTCACACCGGTGGTGCGCAGCTAAAAACTTGTGGCAGCATGATGATTTTTAAAGTAATATCAAAAAAAAAAACCTTTTTGAGCGGGGCCATAAATTTTACAGCGCCCGGTAATGATCTGGAATTGGTAGATCTTACCAAGACATGCACCTGTGGTGTTTGCAGTTTGTTGAATTCCCTTCGATCATATATAATATTAATCTGAAATTGCTGGGTCTTAGAAATTTCGCACAACAGATGAGTCTATTTTAAAAAATGATGGAAAGCTGACTCCATAATTACAACTTTTCCAGTTGCTTTGAGCAGTGCCGCAGTACTTTAGGTCAGCCTTTTGACGGTCCTGGCTTTTGCTTCTTTTCCTGAATTCTCACTTCATATTGAGTTGATATATGACAGGTTTTTACTTGCGTGTAAATTGCGTATCATTAAGACAGGTCAAAGAAGAAAACTAACAATGCAAGATAAAAAAACTCTCGGTGTCAGGAAATGGTAGTCCGGGACCAAGCTGCGATATTCGAAAAACATACAGGACACCTTAAAATGGCTAAAGATTCGCCAAACATTCCTGTCGCGAAAAATAAACTCAATTCGTTTTTTTAAATTGGGGCCTGCATTTTTAAAAGATACTTCCCGTAAATTTTCTCACCTCACTAGGTATAAATTTTTTCAAATCTTCGAAATTTTGCGCTGGACTGTTGGTGAGCAGAATGACAGCGATTGCTGACGTTGAATTCGAGAAATCACTGTACACGGAGACATTGTCTAAGCGGGAAAACTGGAAGCAAATTTATACATATTTAGGATGATCTGGCATGTCATTCATTTGTAAGAACTGACTTGTAAAAGTTTCAGCCTGTTAGCTTATGTACCCATATCTTCCCCGTCCCCCTTCCCCCCTCCTATTTTTCACTCGGTACCCCCACATCCGCTTTCCCCGTCTTTCTCTCCCCTCTCTCCTCTCCAATAATTCGGCTGAACGGCTGGAAAAGTTAGAAAGGCGAAATTTCGGGAACACAAAAGCAGCTAAGCTCAGGCCTGGAGAAGTGAATTTAACTTGCAGTATTCATTTCATTGCTTCTTGGCTCATAACTTCGGGTTTAGTATTGAATTGGTGTTATAATCGATAAGCAAAAAGCCATTAGACAAAAATTTTACTCGTTTCGTTTATGAGCTTAGAAATCAGGTTTCAAGCTCAGCATATCCTGCCTTAGGACATTTTACGTCAACAAGTTAATTAGCTGCAAATAACAGCGTCTTTCTCCACCTGATAACTTTTTTAAACGCTTCGATCAATGCTACACCTCCCCGTGATCGGCTTGTTGGCTGTCTTGCCATATAATATTACGTAAAAGTTTAGCCTACTGCTTTACTTCTAAAATTCTAGCTTCAGAAATTTGAAAAGTAAGCAGTTCGCAGCTAAATTTTGATGGCTTACAGCTTCTGGAGAAAACAATACCCTACGCTTAATCCATTCGTTTCTATGCAAATTAGTATACTAGCATATTCCAAAAGGTTGCAGGTTTCCAGCCTGCTTGCAAGCAACCTACAAAGGGAGGAGCCACAGATAGCCTTGCTAGTGGACGATTACTTTTAGCATTTGGTGCCACCTAGATCTTTTCTTGATGTCCCTACCTCCCATAAAGAGCGAATGTGGAGAAGGTTTTGACTTTTTGATAATTTTTGAAAAAGTCAAACAAAGAAGGGGAAATATAAAAATGTCTTTTCAGGAGCAATTAGAAAGTACTCCCATTAAATTCCATAAAAGCCTTGTTTCAAAAGTAGCGACGACTTACTTCAAGTAGCGTCCCTGATCGAGTTTCGTGGATCAAAAAATGATAAATCGGATATGTTGCTGACAGTGATATTATGGAGTGCAATATCAGATAGCCGAAAAATTCTGCTAGTCCAGAAGTCATTTCGTACTTGAAGTTTTTGTATTAACTTGAGCAAGACAGTCATTGAAGCTCAACAATAAGTGGCTTTATAAAAATACCAATTGCGGGAAAAGAAAAGCAACTTAATGGGCCGAAAGATCTAGTGCTAGTTGCTTTATACTGACCTGTATTTATTTTAGTGGTTTTAATTCTTTCTAGCTATATTTATAATATTTTTTATGTGTGCATTTTCGTCACTCTGATTTACTGTTTCTACTTATATTACAGGTGGCCATTGAACAAGATGGAAAGATACTTTACGTGTCAATCAACTAAAATAACCTACAAACCCAGGCTGGAACGCACCAGGTAAGCCGGTGCGATCATGCGTTTTTGCATCAAGCTTTGAGGTACTCCATCATTATTTCCCTGCCCCCGCCTCACCCCTTCACTCGCTGTTCTCGCCCCTCCTCCTTCCCCCGCACCCGCCCTGGATATCCATCTTCTCCAAGCGATGATATTGTGCTGCATTATACAG